TACACATGAACGCCTTGCCTAACTGACCGAGCAGCCTCTTCCAATCACCAATATAGCCACAGTGATGTCACCAGTTTTAGAGCGATGGGGCATTTTTTACTATATTTATGAAAAACCAATTCATCTAACGGGACACTTTTTGGGTACAGCAAGAATGCGGGAACTTCGGTATTCAATTTTATAACAGAGATGACTCACCTATTACTCAAATGTTGTGTTGTGGGGGATTAAGATGTTAGAATAACGAATAATTGTGTATGGTAAGTTTTCATTCTTACATTTTCACACTAATTCATCCCCTCTCTTTATTTAAATATATCCAGGGACATTTAGGGGTTTCAACAGCTAAATCTGGTTTATGAAGATTACCTAGAGATTTAATCCGAAATGTTTTTTGCTGAGCTATGCCACAGTTTTCTAATTTTTGGTGAAAATCGTTTAAGGAGATTTTTTAGTCCGGAATTTCGTTTGCAAACTGATACTGGAACAAATGGAATTACTAATGGATTTCCTAGTAAGGGCTAAACCCAAAATTAACAAACACTGCATTACTGGGGTGATTGAAACAGAATACACTTTTTGTTATAGTACACATTCACAAAACCTTATTTGAATAGATGAAGTTCATTGACTATTGACCTATAGTTTTTAAAAGCTCGGTTAAAACATTATTTAGAACCATCTGTGGGATGAACTATCGTAGCTAGGATTCAAGGTTTGCAGAAAAATACATGTCCTAACCGTTATTACAACTACAATGTTATTTTAGTCCTAAAGGATTAACAAGTTTAAATTTTAATTGATAATATCGGTGTAATGGTGTTGAAAGCTTTTCTAAACGAGCATCTTATCCTTAGCAGACAACCAGTTGATTACGAACAATATAAAAACCAGTTCATGGACCTCACGAATGCAAGCAGGATGGTAGTTTGTGTAGACTGGTTTAGACCAAACCAATTAGTTGTACAAACCACAACCACGTCTTATTTGTTTGTAATCAGAAAAAAACATGACGTTCCCATCTACATAATGACAGAACCAACCAATTTCAAACCGATGAACCAATCACTTAAATCCGCTTCAAACATCTACAACTATTGACATAGATCAAACCTGATTTCTTAATTTAATTCAATTCATTGCTTTAAAACATCGACTTACACTTTGATGCAGATTTTAAGCTGAAATTAGTGATGTATGAATGTAGAATGGAATGAGATGATCTGTGTAACTTAACCAAACAGCTTAGCTGCTGACCTATACTAGCTGTATATTAGCCAGGACCATTAATTAAGCACAGCGGGGTCCAGTTTAGAATCTTCAAAAAGCTAGAAAATTAGAGGAATTAAATTATGAGCACTGGTTATAGTTTCTGGTAGTTTTTCGTCACGATGCCTCAAATCATACAAATCTTTTAATAACTCAGATTTTTTTGTTCAATAACAAAATATGCTTTGTAAAATTCAATTTTGCATTAAACTGCAGCAAAACAGCCGTTTTTATACTTGCGTTGCTGTTCGATAGTAGCATGTTTGCATTTTTAGTAGTCCCTAAGGGCTAAAAATCGGGTGTTGTAACTGTTGTAAATTGGGATTGTAGCAATCCCATGGATCGACATTATTCTGATCGTAGTCGTAATATCTTTAAGTGTTGCCAACTTATTTTCAAGTGTACGCGTATTACGTGTCTAACAAAAGCACACTGTTTTGTGTAGTTAGTTTGGAATACTGGAGTGTGGCAAAATATGAGTGCGGAATAAAATGAGTGTTGCAAAATAAATTAATGAGTGTGGTGAAAAAAGTTAGTGCAGCAATTTGTATGGATGGTAAATTTTTTTGTAACCTTAAAATTTTCAAATTTTATGGCTGATGTACCAGTACGTCAGCCATGATGTTGTACATCACGGACTTGTACTGGTACAGCCTATGTCATCCGATGCAAATGTGTTTTAAGCGCCTCTTCTCCGAATGACTCGCAGCGCTCGCAGGTGGTCATTGCCACCTGTGCGGAGTTGTGATATTTACTGTAGTTCAGCCGTGGGAACTTCTCATCTGCAGCAAACACGTCATTAATGTCTGTAGTTCGCGTGTCGTTTAATTTGCTGACATTTAGCACGAAATGACATCAGAGGGTCGTGTAACGGACTATACGCGTCGAAGAAGAGAGGAAGACATCTCTCCCTTTCATTCTTTTCTCATCTTTATGTAATTAGTTACGGATGTTGTATTCTTTGTTGGTGTTACTCTTTGTATGGTAAGCACTATAAAGTTCCCGTATTTCTCGTCATCATTCTGAGAATGCGTTGGGAATGTAATACGTTTTAAATCCTCTTACAAACTGTTTCGTCTGATTTAGTTATTGTTAACTTTCTACACTATATTGTCAACATAGTAATGTAGTCTTCATTTTATCCTGGAAGCATTCCGCCAATCTATGTATAGAACTGAAGCAGCCTATACAGCACAGCCCACGATTACTAGAAAAATACTTTTTCTCTAGTATTTTTCTAGTATTCGTGGCACAGCCGTAGCCTATACTCGAAAATCGGAAGCCTACAAGGAGTAAATAATACATTACCGGTACAAACAGTTATTCGTGCATTAAGAATTATATACACATAGAATATTTTAAATAATATAAAGGGGTCTCATTTTATCTGGATCACCAGTGATTTATTTATAACTACATATAAATATTGAAGTAGGTAAATTTTTATGGGATTTTTTCATCTAGATTATAGAGTACAGTATAGAGGATCTAGCCCTTGTCTCTCGAAGGTCGCTATTTTCTTAGAATTAAAGTTTGTCCTAAAAGATTTATGACTTACAAAAAAACCAAGCGTCTATAAACAGCTTAACTCTTTGTGTACATCGGATGCATGTTTAAGTATAGTTTTGAACGATTCACGGAGCGTTTAGAAAACTCGAACAATGAAGATCTTACATAGTCAATAAAATTTAACTTCGTGTACCACACCCGTTCATACTCGGTCCATCAGTAGATCCAATACTGTATGAAGCAATGTCACATTTGGGTCTTTTTAACATAACCTAAACTGTGGGGTTTCCACAGTTGAAATAGTCCCTCTTCTGAAAAAGACCATCACATTCTCTCTTCTAAACCATGAGTACAATTTAAAATAATAATCAATCGTAAAAAATGTAGGTTATAAACAAGCTTCTAACTAGGCATACAGCTATCAATGTATCCTTATGCATGTGATCAGCGCGCAAGCGCACTATTTTATTCGGCCAGTGCCATGAGCGCAGCCACAGTGTCAGCGAGCAGCGTGCAGTACGCAGGGCGCAGGACGAGTCAAGGCCAGGACATGAGGTAATAACAAGGATCAGGATCAGGACGCTGCACTGTCGGATGTTACTCTATGTCCTGTGACACAGGATGGCTGCTTCCTTGATCTCATCTTTGCTTCCCGAGTTTGAACACGCAAAATATATTGAGCAATACAAAGCATTGGTTCAATCGGTTTGTGTTGACAAGAAGTATTATGTAGAGAGATGTATTTGTTTTGGGAGAAAGCCAGACTTAAAAATGTTTGGTACGATTGGTAATCACGTTTTGAAACTTTTAGAACCAGTTAAAAGGTTCGCGCTTTCAATTCTCTTTCCGGCCAATTCATCATCTTTCACTTGGAATATTGAAGGCGAAAACTAAAGTGATTGTCTACAATTATTACGAATAAAAATTGGGAGATGGTGTTGTTCTCTATCGTTACGATATCTAAAGTTTTCCAAGTTCTCAGTTAGTGTGTGCGAACTTATGTGTGACACATAAAAATATATTCTTTTACATTGTGTTCTTTATCAATACATATTTTTATTTTATATTGATTGGACTTTCATGTTCCAAAAATCAATGAGTTTGCTTTTAGTTACAGTAGTGCACAATAAAACCTTCAGATTGGTACTATAACTTTCAATATTTTATATACTAGGCCTACCACAGACGAGACAACTTTTGTTCATCATTACAACGCACAAGTTTTTTTTTCTTCAGAAGAGTAATATTATCTCACCTAAAACTATTATGGGCCCCGAGTGGCTACATGTTACATGTTGTGGACACTATCTGTTTTGCCACATATATTTTACGTACCCATCCTATTACTAATACAAGCAAACTAGGGCCTTTGCACACTAGGCCACCATGGCGGCACCACTAAAGTTGTAGTAATCTCCAGATCGTATTTTAGTCACAGTTTGGTATTAAACTGGATAGCAAATACAGTGATATGATATTGATATTACGTATCTTGCAAACCGTAAGGTGAAGCACGCCCGTATAATATTCAAAGCCCAAAGTAAGATGAACGCTGCAGTAGCCGGCACATATGTGACAGACCGCCGCACGCCGCACGCCGCCTATCTGTCATCGCGGGAGCGGCGTACGTCATGACCGGTACTGTTATATTCATTACCGCACGAGTGCCCGAACAGTATTCCGTATGAGGTTTTTGAACTGAGATTGCAATCTTGCTTGCAGAACAAGAACAAAATTGGGCGGTTGGAGTTGATGTACTGCATCCACAGTACATTGTTGTGTATACGACTCTGTTGAGTCTAAGAATAATTTAGATGAAAATACTTTTGAACAAATGGAACATTTGGCTTGATTTGCGTTGTACTGTTTGTAAACGGGAGGCAATTATAAAATATGGAACGATTTGACATATTATATGCATAAAAAAAGGATTTTTACAGTTTTACTCTGAAATGTAAATAGACAAATGTATTTGTTAAAACGAGTAATGAAAATCCAGGTAAACTTATACTGTAATGGATTAATAATCTTTTAATCTCAACAACTTCAACTCACTAGAAAATAATTTTAAGCAATTCCTCCTCGTAACCAAACTTTCAACTAAATAAACACTGATTGATAAACTCACTTCAAAGCCCAAACTTACATCTACCTGTTTTAAACCTCTTTATAAAACTCTGAAATCCCTGATGAAATTTACAAAATATTGTTAACTGTTCCAGAGACAAAACCACAACTACTACAGCCAATACCAGCCCCAACCTACTTACACAGAGTGCTCCTCATGGACTCCCTGGCATGACCCTAGGACAGCCACCCCCCTGGGCATGTACCACCCGAGGGGAGGGCCCGGCAAGAGGCGGTGGTGCAGTGTGCTCGCTGCTGTCCTAGTCTTTGTCATCATATTGGCTGTGATGGTCATCGCTGGGCTGGCCATCTACATGGGAGGTAAGCATTGGATATTTTAATCACTTTACAAATAACTTTGGGCCCTTCAAAATGTAAGATAATGAAAGTTATAACTTATATTATAACTTAAGTTTGGCAATCATTTTTCAGCAATCGACATGTTGTTTGTGAATAGTGTATTTTGAAGTGAAGTACTGCCATTGCTTTTGTTATACTTAAGTGCATTTTTAAGTTTTCAACTTCATGATAGTCCGCCATATCCATAGTCAGTGGTAGTAGGTAGGTTTTAAATAATTTTTTTCCTACCACTGCATGGAAATTATCACATTGCCATACCTGTAAACAGTACGCAAAATAGCTTATTGCCGCTCTAGAGCAGGAATGCATCATTACTTTAAATAACCTTAAATAAAACAAACATAACCTTTCTCGAGTGGCAATAACGTACTTTGTGCTCTTTATATACAAATAGCTATATTGTAACTTTTTAAGTGTAGATTATCTGATCATATTAAAAATTTATATTTTTCATTTTCAGCACTGAAGCTGGAGGTGTCCCAAAGTAAGTAAGCATTTTTATTTTAACCTTATCTGTTCCTTATCTACTGCAATTTTTATTTCACAGAATAATTTAACTGTTTAGTCAAATAATTTATCTTCAAACACTGTTTGAAAAATGACATTAAACCAACAACAAAAAATGTTTTTTTTGACATAAAAACTGATAATTTTTATAATTTTTTTCCTATTATTTTATTGTCGAAATTAGTTTTTATTTGGTAACTAGAGTTAATGATTCTTCTACTTCTATTGAGACTGGTAATGATAACAATAACATGTGACAAATCAGAAATCAGAATGCATAATATAACAAAATTAATGTTTATCCTCTTGTATGTGAACGCGTAAACATATCTTATGAGATGTTTTACACTACAATCTTTGGTTGAAATAACAAAAACTGTACTAATAACGAAGTTGTTCACACAAATGCGTTTGTGCTCACATTGTTAGCAGAAGGCCTATAGTAAAAATGATCGAGATTGCCCCGATAATTTCTTAAGGCATTTCTCAAACAATAATAATAACAATAATAGAACCCTGCAGAGAGCTGATTTTGATGTATCTTATTTCAGTTTTGGTGCTTGACGGCAGCTTCAGGGTGGTGGGCGGTGATACGTACAACATTTCTCTGATCGACCATTCAAGTCCACTCTTCCAGAGAAAATCTCAGATCTACAAATCAATGGCAAGTTTCTAAAAGTGTTATTTAAATTTTTGCTCTCATACATTTCTGTTGCGTTGTAATACATGAAAAGGAATACGTAAGTTTCAAGTGAAGATGCCACTTCACTTGGGCTGTTTTGAACAATTTTATTCTAGCAAGAACAAGCTAGAAATTAGTGTTTGTTTAAGGTTTCGTTTAATCTGATGATACAGTCGAAGATGATATTTTTTACAAAATTGGTAGGGTGTGGTAAAATTGTTTTTGTTTTGCCAGCAATGTTGAAATCACCAAAAATAATTGTTTACTAAATATTTATTAGCATAAGGAATATTTTTTTTAATTTTCGATTTCCACCCAAAAGGAAACTATATTTCATTTTTGTTTTCTGAAACGCAAGAATGTTTTTTAATAAGTTCAATTACTTTCAAATTTTTATGTCATCAAATTCTGTTACTGAGTTTTTGTTCCAGATAGAGAGCATATTCAGAAGAACTGAATTCAGCTCTGCTATAAAACAGTGCAACATTCTGGGCTTCAAGAATGGAAGTGTAATTGTATTTTTCAGACTCATTCTGGACAGGCGGAAAATACCTCGGTGAGTTTAATGCTTTTCCTTTGTCTATTTTCATTTAATGTTGACCCTCAGGGTAAGATAGTACAAAAAGAAAACTGTAAAACTTCTTACATAATATTGAGCATAAATGCTTAAAAGAACTGAAAATCAAAGCCACAAAAATGTAAAACACAGTTTTTTCCTCGTGTTACAGTATACACTTGTGGCATTATTATACAAGAATCTTAAAACGCTTTTAAAGAAAAGTGGTTTAACCCCTCAAATTTTGTTGTAAACAACAGAAAAAACTCATCTTGATTGTATTGATGTCAAATATCCCAACCATAAGGCACACACCCATATACAAGTTCTTTTAATAGGCCTACTTCAACCCCCTAATCTAATAACATAATAAACATTACATATATGTCTTAATCATCAGCTTATTTCAAATATATGGAAGCGTACATGGTGGGTAGCTAGTACAAATATTACCAAGTTTGCACGCTTTTTTCATAGTTTAAACATTAACTTTTTGGTATCCTAGATTATTCAGATTTTAATAAAAATTATAATCTATTTCTTAGTTAGAAGCAGAGCTAAAATCTCCTTTATAATCTCATTTTAGTCTTAAAATCTGAGCTCTGGTTTGTGTTGTAGATAATCAATCCATTGTCCATAACTGAAGGACATGATAAATATGTGCAAACATATAAAAAGTTCAAAACTAACGGTATTGGTTACATTTTCTTGTTGTATTTATAGGAAACCCACCCCAGTAGAAGAGCAAATTAAAGCAATTCTGTTGCAAAGACTCCCAGTGGCATCTCCTCTAAAGAACTTCAAAGTGGACAAGTCACAAGTATTTCTAAAACGTAAGTTCTTTGTACACTCGCCATTAGTTGTAAGAGTAGACGTGTTAGATTTTATAAAAACTACTATAACATAGAACAATAGCGATTGTTTACTATAGTAAAATCCGAAACAGCTCTCCCCCCCTTTTTTCGGTTAACCGGGGTTCTACTGTAATTTTGGTATCTATTATTGATTCAGTGCAATAAATTTGTTTCATAAGATTTATTTGCTTAAAAAAGTCAATGAGAAGTTATCTGTAAATCAATTCTTTGGGCACAACAGACAGATTAACAGATGGAGATTATTTTAGCAGAGGTAATATTAAAACATGTACGTCTTAAAAAAATAATTTTGTAAACATATTACCAAATATTATTTCAGAATTTTAATGTATTTCACTTATAGATTTGTCACAGTAAAACTGTTCAAGTATGCTTAGCAAACAACCATTATTATTGACCCATAGATATTTATGTAAGCCTAGATTTATTTTGTTTCAGGAGTAGGAGAAAATGCAAGTCAATCTCAGATGCTGGGTGACCTAGAAAACAAAAATCTAAGTCTAGAAATACACAACGGACTCTTAAGAAAAAGTCCTCCAAAAATAATAACTTCACACTACACAAACCCTCCTGTTAGTCAACCGCAAATACCAAAGACAACATCCACAACCGAAGGGGTAATTGGCGGTTCATTCAAACTGTCTGAGCCTGATCAAACGACAAAATCATCGCAAACAACTCAGAAATCTTCTAGTCAAGAATATCAAACAAGCCAAACTATTAATAAAAATTCTAGAAATAATGTAACATCATCGATTGATTTTTATCAACATAGTCCAGCACTGCACGCCTTGCTGAAGCACAAAGCTAGAGTAGAATCAACTTCGACAGCCATTCCTGAAATAATAGAGCCAACTTTGGGTCAGGATGAAACCGATCTCATAACTTTACTGCCTTACATATTCCAAGGGGTGGAAGAACCGTGGAAACCCGTCCTGCCTGAGAACTTCACGAGATATCCAGAGAGAAGGCCACTTGTGACTGAAGACTACAGTTCAGGAGGCGTCGGAGTGGTTGAAGTGGTTTTGGATCCTGATGACCTTGCGTCGTCCATCCCTTCCAAACCAAATCTTGTAAAAGAGGAAAGTACACAAAAACAGTATTTAAACCTGGCTAACCCAATAAGTAGTTCCAGTTTGTCTTCTCCCATAAGACCAGTGAGCAGCATCGGTAAGGAAACATTCGGTCCACGGTCAGACAACAAAGTGTCATTTGTTTTAAACACAGAGGATGAGAACAACGAGAAAAACCACTATGAACAATTTCGTAATATTTTTATCAAGCATAAGGATGGCAGTGAACCAAGAGAAAATGTTTCACCCTCGAGTGGAATACTTCCTGATCTCCCGATAATTCAGCAATTTCATAATTTGGATGCACTGCTAAGATCCTACAGTTTGAAATCATTGAATTCCAAAACAGATGATGTCCCAGTGACACTGTTACCTGCCCGATCCAACTTGGATATGAAAAAACAAATACGCCCTCGCCCTTCACCGACCTCATCTTCGGAGATAGGTGATAGACTAATTGAAGTAATACAAGACATGCCAAAAATCATACACCGTAAATTAGCAGTAAAGGTTAACTCTGGATCAGTTGATGAAAACTCAAACACAAATGTTTCAACAAGCACTGAACAAATTGACGAAGAAACCGACACAACGGTATTTGAAAAAACCGCCATTGAAATCGATACTGAGGCTTCAACAGCAATGGAAAGGGAGGTGAACATAAAAGAACAATACAAGATATCTAGTAACACTGAACCCTCCGAAGACTCTGAGACCAGTACACAGCCTGAAGATCTGACGTACATTCAACTTGCAAATCCAAGCACAGAACATTTGGAGACTGTGTCACTGTATCAAAACAATCCTAAAGAAACTAATCCTTCAGGCAGTTTACACCATGAAAAATATGTTAAAATAGAATCAAACCCTACAGAAATGACTTTTAGAAATAATCGTCAGTCAAAAATGTCTCCAACATTCCTGATTGGTGGAGTTCCCTTAAAGATAGATTTGAAAGGAAACATTGATGAAGTCTCTGTTGATGGAAAAATAAATGAAGATAGAAACAATTCAAAAGTTATCTCCCATAGTCAAGAAGGCATTGTAAAATTGAAGGATGTAAAAATCCAAGATGTTCTTGAAAAAATTATTTACAATCTCACATCACCAGATAGTGCGGATCTTGTGGACTCTTCTTTAGAGCAAGATCTTAAAATTACCGACTTTCAAAACCAAAATCTTAGTGAAAATGATGACCCCAGTATTGCACTGAATAGGAAGTTTGGCCAAAATACAGCAGATAGTAAAAATAATTTGTTCAAAAATTCATCTCTTGTAGATATGAAACCAGATTTAATTTTTTACTACTTGAAACACCAGAATAAAAGTTCACTGAATTCTCAAGGATTGGGTTTATCAAATAGCTATGTGAAAAATGGAAACAGTGAAGCGTCCAACAAAACTTCGCCAAACTACAAATTGAACAAGGATGGTTTCCTGATGTTAACAAAGGTGTACAACAAGGCATCTAGTTCTCCAACCAATAATGAACTTACAAAATCAAACAGCACAAGGAATCAAACTGTGGGTTAGTATTTTACTGTACTAATGATTAAACTTTAATATCGAACGAAACTAACAGATTTAACTTATCATAAAGATACCTTCAACATTTCTAATAAAGATACGTTGTACAATTGGTTTAAAAGCAGCATGAAACAAATCAGACAAAACTTAATTAATGTAAAAGTGATCAAAAAGAAAGGTAGAAATATATAATAAAATATCAGGGGATCACACAAATATTGTTCTAAATGTATACAAATTCTTGCATATCCTCCTAGTTTTGAAGATGTTTAGTAAAGATAGTAATGCATCAATCGATGACTTTTCAGTTTTTATGTATAATTTGTAGAATGTACTGGAAACACAAAGATGAGATGTGGTAGTGGAGAATGTATCAGTTCTCTATCAAGATGCAATCATCTGGTTGACTGTGCCGATGGAACTGATGAGAAAAACTGTTCCTGCGCAGACTTCTTACGAGCTCAATACTTGACGAGAAAAATATGCGACGGTGTTGTAGATTGCTGGGATTTCTCTGACGAAAACAATTGTGGTAAGATAAGAGTTAAATGCAAGTTTTTATTTGGTTTCAAGGCGTCTCATAATTTTAGTCAACTTCCGATTGAGGTCTTGAGTCAAAAGAAGTAGGTTTTTCGACTGATTAAACATCAGTGAAGCAAGTGATAGTTCTGTCAAAACTAACAGCAAGTAATAAAATCTGTGACAGTTCCTATTTATAATCATTCAACTTATCCATCATTTAATTTTTATGAGCTCTAAGCCATTTAACACGTTCACTGCGGGCGTATCCGATAGGATACGGGTCGAGCGCTGTTCAGGTGCTGCCGTAACCGATGGGATACGCTCGGCAATGCCTTTCGTATATCATAGTTTTTGCTCTAGTGTCGGTCGAAGGCGGACCTATACCACGTTAGCGTGTAGTGGGTGACTTGCTTTTTCTTGTGTTGTAGGTTGGTAGTAAAATTTCCCCATAAAATCCCTGTCTGGCAAACTTAAAAATCAACTAGTTGTCCCGTCTTTCTCCCTCAAATTGGCAATACTATGGGACCGGCTACGTTCCAAGCAGTGCTGCTATCTGTGAGTGTTTAGCGAACCACGTCGACTCTTGTTATAAAGCAGGACATCACCGCACGTTATTTGCTATTCGTCATACAGAAATATGAGAGCCAATAACGCGGCAATCGGGTTTGTTCGACGCTGCGGGCTGCGCCGCACTGGGGCTACGCCTGCTGTTTTATGGCCCGCAGCGAACGTGTTAAAAACTAGCCATCAATATTACTATAAACCTTTAAAACTCAGACTGTCTTAAAAATCACAAAAAAATAAGTAGCTAAATTTGAAAATTTCCACCTTCCTTATCAACAAAACAAAAGGCTGTAAACTTGGCTACCCTGTTAAACTTGTGCTCTACATTTACTTAAAAAAAATCTTGAATTCTGAACAATGCAATCAGAGTTGTACCTCTTTGTCAATCATCCTTATGATAAGTATTTCTAATCCATCTGATACGTTTGCACAGATTGGTGTACGAGTGGTCAGTACGTCTGCAGCAACTCTCGGGTCTGTATTGATCAGGAGCGAGTGTGCAACGGACATCCGGATTGTCCTAACGGAGACGATGAGAAGAACTGCGTGTCCATCGCCCCGGATATATCTCAGGCTGACAACATTAAGTATCACACCTCAGGTAAATTGTTGTATTGTATAGAAGTTTGTAATGCAATTTTGGGCAGGTCGTTGAGATTATTTATGATGGATCATTTTTATTAAGATGTCACAATATGCTTATATGTTTAAAATAAGTGAAAATAGAATGATATTGTGCAGCTTTCAGATCAACTATAACCGAGTCTACAGCCTGGTTATTAAATTGATGCCTGACTATAATTATTGCTGGATTGGATTTTTAAACTTTCAAAGAGCTTATACATTTTCTCTGAATTAAAACGGCAAAACTGTAATTGGTATGAACAGACTATAATAACGAACCTAATAAATGGTGGTGTTTTATGAATGGGATGGAATGATGGCGTGAAGGACGGAATCTCAATAGAATTGTCTGAGTAGTGAGTTTCAGGTTCAAATTATATTCTCAATAAATTAAATTTAAATAAGAACAATATCAAAACCTCCACAATGTTTAAGTTTGAGAAGTAGATTGTTTTTGCTGAGGACTCAAATCACATTAGTGGGTTAGTTTTGATATCGAATTGACAGGGAAATCAAACACCTGAAAATGAATAGTTTAAGATCCAATTTAATCAGAACGGTGGATTTTTCATAGACCAAGACGAGGTTTTCTACTTTAACCCGTTATCACAAGTAAGTTGTCAATAAAAAGCTGTTATTTAAAAACAAAAGTTGTAAAAAAGGTTTTTTGAACTGCATGTAAAACCCCTTAACACCTTACACCTTAACAAGTGTAATTAAATTTGCATATTATTATTACAACTATTCACATTAAAACATGTGAATAATTGAGTCTTTGTTCATTGCAGGAACCCTGATGATCAGGAAAGAAGGTCAGTGGGGCAAACTGTGCACCCAGAACTTTGATGATTTAAACTCAATTTTCAAATCGCGATGGACGCTGGAAGATTTGGGTCGTGTTGTGTGCAAGACAATGACATTCAGGTACTCGTCCTTTTGTTTATTACGGCTCAAATTCAAATGTATTAACAAAAATCATAAACAAGTTTCTTGAGATTGTACCCTCATTAATGAGATGTTGTTTTTGTTTATTGGATTAAAAAACACAAGTGTCAGAGAAATGAAAGAAAGACTATGTAAAAGGTAATAATTAATAAAAATTAGGTTTTCATTTGGTAAATTATTTGTTATTTTTTAATTTACTATTTTAGTATGTTATTAAGCTAAAATACTTTGTGGAATTGATAGAACAACTTGGAATTTTACACAAGAGAAACTGCTTTGATTTTTGGAATTTTTTCAATATTAGTCAATCCTCATTGGTGTATGTGCAAAAATGAATCTGGCATTGAAAAAATATGCATTAGAATGAACAAATAAACTAACATAGGATAAAAGAGGATATATACATTTCCTAAATCATTTAAATAATGTTTTTTAAATGTTTTTAGAACTTTTGAGGGCATAGAACATATCAATGACACAACCACTGAGGGAGTTCATGCAAACAAATTCTACGAACTGACATACTCCAAAGATTCAGCTGCAATCCAGTCCAGGTAAGGAATTGTGGTGTAACGACCTAATAAACTCCTTCATGATATTTATAATAGGCCTAGCTATTTACGTTACAAGTGTAGTAAGAGCGTTTTTACACCACGCAGGTGAATGTTGTGCAAAGAGCGGAAGCAAGTTGCATAATTCACCTAAGTGATGTAAACACGCTCTTGCTTAACATGTAACGTACAAGATTTTACCTGACCCTACAATATACAGGGGGTTACATACAATATTTTTCATTATCCATTTCACTCATCTTCTAACAGTAACGTTCTTTTACAAACAAAAGCTAGGTTAGGAAAATACTTTAAAGCATAACAATAACATTCAAGCGCACAGCTGATTTCTAGGGTTGGACGTCGTCGGCTCCATAGAGGTATATTTTATTAAGTTGAGCACTCAATGTTATTTGAATGGGTTTCATTAGGTACTTCACCGAGTGAGTTTTTGAAACTCTACTTCACTCGTGAAGTAAAGAAGTTGTATACATCACGACATGGCGTTTAACATGGCAGGTTAGGTAAAATAATTAATTAAAATAATTACAAACAAAAAACACAGTTTTTTACCACGTTATTTTCTTGTTTTAAACGTAATAGTTTTGTCAACAGGTTAGGCCTAACATTTGGAAACACAACCTGTTCTCAAAGGAAGGTGGTTCACGTGTCTTGTGGCAGTCTGGAATGTGGAGTTAGACCACAGGCCCACAGACCATGGGAGAGGTGAGTCCTTCAAACTATTTCACGCTTTTACAATTTTTATAATAGTTTTAAACTTTTTTATTGGAGATTTACTTACCTATGTGACTTCTAGGAAATAAAATATTTCAATTTTATACAAGACATTTTACTCTGGGGACTAAGTAAATGATAAACGACAATATGCACCTGAGATACTGAAGTTGGTATAAATTATGATTAGTTAAGTAATTTTTCAATAAAATGGTACACAATATATTAAATAATGTGATAACATCTTCAGCTAAACAATTAAAAGCGAAATCTTGATTTGAATGAAAAGTTGGGTTGTTAGTATCCTTTTTTATGTTTCCAATGCCAAAATAAGAGTGAACACTTTTTCCAATCGCACGATCATTACAGACATGTCGGGTATTGGTATCGACTTTTGATGATTTTTCCGATACGGATACCAACGTCCAAGTATCGGTGGTATCGATAATCAACCCATTCCTACTTATATTAATTGTTTTGGTACAAGAAAACTCTTGTTTTGTGCATTTTAAGTGCTTTTAATGATTACATTCCAGTAATCCGGCATTTTAACTTATCCGACAGTATCACGATCATATATTTGCTGGATTACTGAGAGTCTACTGTACCTATTTCTTCTAACCTGAAGGGAACATAGGGCTGTAACAAATACCCTCTACCCCACTCTTTTTGTGCTATACTCTTAATCTCTCCCCAAGTCCTTCTTTCTTCTCTAATTCCTCTGTCTCCTCATCAAGATATATTCCCTTAGGTTCCACTCCAGTATTCTTCCCCTGTTCTACACCATTATTCTTAATCTTTCTTAGATCTTTCTTTCTTCCCTGAGTTCCCTCCTCACCGTCATTCTCATCCAGATATCTTGCTTAGTCCTTTCTTCTTCCTGCAGTTTCCACTCAGATTCTCTGAACTCTTTTTACTCCTAACAGATCCAAGAGAGGAGGGTCCCGCCACTCCAGGATTGTAGGTGGGGGTAACGCTGGCCCTGGGTCGTGGCCTTGGCTGGCCGCCCTGTACAAGGAAGGAGAGTTCCAGTGCGGCGCAACGCTCATCTCAGACCGCTGGCTGCTCAGCGCCGGCCACTGCTTCTACCAGTGAGTTTTGGACGGAATGCAATTGAGTGTTTTTAAAGCAATTGCCTTTAAAGAGTAGTTTTAACACCTAGAAGATTTGATTCACTGAATACTGAGCACATGAGATATTGTTCAGGTGAAATAACCCTGTTTTCTGCTTAGAAAAGAATCGCTTCTCTTAAGGGGGTGTCTAGGTTTCTACTTAGTAGCTTTTTTACTCAAACCTCTTGAACAAACTATAGCAGTATAGAACAGACATATTCGGAAATGTTATCATTGTAACAAGGTACATCAGCAATTTGCAGTAGACCTGTATGATTTCAGAGTGGTGCATAATGTTTTTAGTGTTGGAGTGAACTTTGATTCACTAAAAAATGCCTAAAGGTTGTAGAATCCTTTGACCAAACATAGACTGTTGTGAATTCCCATATTTAAGTTGTAAGCAGTTTTGGGAATAAAATTATGAGTTAATGTGTCGACAGAGAATGCTGATGGGAATTTCAATTTTCTTTCTTATAGGTACATTAGATACTTTCTAATCATTTCTAGCTGAAAGAAAAACTGGTTTGAAACTAAAGCGCCATAAAATGAAAAGCTAATGGAGGATTAGAATTTCAAAAGGTGTAAACTTTATGAAAGGCTCATATTCATCTGTGTCAATGGCTCTACTAAAAATTCATTATACATGCCCGATCAACTAATACTCTTTTTTGGACCCTATACATTTGTGGCTTTACTCTGCATGTACCTAACCTATAAATGTCACCAGTGCGCTTGACGACCACTGGGTGGCTCGGCTAGGAGCGCTACGCAGAGGTACCAACCTCCCCTCACCATACGAGCAGCTTAGAGTTGTGTCTCGTATCTTGCTACACCCTCACTACGTGGACGCTGGCTTCATCAACGACATCTCTCTGCTGCAGCTGCGCGAGCCAGTCACGCTAACTGACTACGTTCGCCCAATCTGTCTGCCGCAACCTAACGTAGCCCCGAGCGACGGCACCATGTGCACCGTCATCGGATGGGGACAGCTATTTGAAGTCGGCCGGATTTTCCGTAAGTTTTATTTTTCTTCAGAGCTTTCTGATATTTAAACCAAGAAACAAATGTAAATTTTCTTTGGATGAAATTGGTAAGCCATACAAAAATGCTACTTTTGGCGTATTTGTACAGAATAGTAATTGAAATTATTTGATGGACGCACCCAACATTAGTAGTTTGACTGTACTTTGGACTATGACCAACACACTATATTTTTAGTATTTGGTTCTTTTATTGCCAGAACCTTAATAAGATCTATTATTAGTTATTATTTAATCTTTAACTTTTCATTTGTCTAACCAAAATGAAAACATTAATATAAGAATATAACTACTGTAGTTTTGTGTTACTTTAAAGGTTGTTTGGCAGATAAGTGTAAAAATAATGGTGTAACTCATTCCATCTTGTATACAAAGCCAGATACTTTTTATCACAGGCAGAGGATTGCTATATCGGAACCATCCCTTGGAAACTCTATTTTTTAGCCTGATGTGCCTTTATTTGAAAATATAAAATGATACTACTGTAATAATTTAGAGCATTTACCAAAACATTTAGAATTAACCAGTTACATGAATACAACCGTTGGTTGTGTTGTATTAGTAGTCATTTTTAAATGTTTAAAGTACACTACACAGACACCAATCTTTTAAAGTACAAAGTTTTATGGAACCTTATACTTACGATTTCGTAACCTATTTATTCTAGCGGACACACTACAAGAGGTCCAGTTGCCGGTGATATCTACGTCGGAATGTCGCAAGCGGACGTTGTTCTTGCCTCTGTACAAAGTGACGGAGAATATGTTCTGTGCTGGTTATGATCGTGGAGGAAGAGACGCGTGTTTGGGAGACTCTGGTGGGCCGCTCATGTGTCAGGTATGCTCGGAACAAAGAAAATAAAGTTAGCTTAGTTGATATAAGGTTTCAGTGTTATCGAGAGTACAAAAGAACAAAGTAGGGGGCTGCAATAAAAGTCATAACAATGATAAGTTTTCAGTTTGATCTTTTTAAATTTATTGTTTCCTTTCAACCTCTTCCTTGGGTTTGAAAGTATAAAATTCAAGCGTTCTTGTTTGCGTAGTAAGGAGTTTTACTGGATAATGGATTCTTTATCATATCATTCTTTTCTGCTGTATTAGTTCCTCACTGGAAATATCTCATGGAATACAAAGAAATTATTTTATTTCCTTTCTTAATACCAATTAATTAAAGGTTACAGATCCAATCAGTAGTTTTTTCTTCAAGTTCTTTCTTCTGGACAGTTTTAGACTGAAAATTTGATAAGCTCAGCGAGGTTTTTTAGAGTACACGGAGCTGAAAAGTTCTACACTCAAGAACCGTTTGTCATAAATAATATTAGAATCGTTCCAAACAATTAATTGTTGAATTGGTTACCAACCACTTTGTTCACGTAATTTAAAACCATTAACATTAATGAGAAACATCAATAATTCCTCTGTAATACAATTAACTCAGCAATACCATTGACTATATAACACTACTAGTGTTGTATGGTGTGTCAATGGCAATACTTACTTCATGTTCATCCCACAGGAGAACGATGGTCATTGGTCTTTGATGGGAGTGACGAGCAACGGATACGGCTGTGCTAGAGCAAACAGGCCTGGAGTGTATACCAAGGTGGCCAACTACATTTCATGGGTCCACTCCAGCATGTCAGCAGACGATGCATTGACTCCTCGGCGCAACACCACCTGCCACGGACACCGCTGTCCCCTCGGAGAGTGTTTGCCTTCCGCTCGGATCTGCAATGGCTTCATGGAGTGCAGTGACGGCAGCGATGAAAAAGACTGCTGGTGAAACATGCTCAATTCTGAATTGTCTCGATTGTAAGATAAACTTGTGCTGTGTAACTGAATTTCAGTGACTGTAGGTAGATCATAGATAGAACAATCCCATTCTAATGAGTTAAACTGAGCCAACGACGTATGAATTGTAGAGTGTTGATGTCAACTTGTTACTGTAAGATTTTGTCATCCACACAAAAACTACAAGGATGATTTCTTGTACACTATATCAGCTTTAAAATGTCACATAACTTATCATAGTCTCAAAAACTATGGTAGAAAATATAATTTCGACAATAGCACATTATGTGAGTGGCTCATTAAACTATGTTGAATTTGGATGAAAAATTAGCTGCAGCTGGACAACATAGACGAGATATCTATCTACTTCAGTATTCGAAAATCAATGATTGCATTAACTTATGTAGTGTGAGTGAAGAAAAATGATTGTAACATCCAAATGATTCATTGTATTTTTTAAATGATATCTTATAGTTTTTGTGATATATCGTACAAATTTATTTGGGAAACCCCTGATTCTGCTTTGTAAAATGCTGCATTCATACATGTTTTACATTACTGTCGTTACTGAGGTCTTCCGGTGCCACATTTGGTTAACATGAAATAGTTTTTTGTACAGAATTTAAAAATGTTTTCAACATTTTGAATGTATGGGAAAATGTAAAATATTATCAACAGAAACTAGGCTATTCTGAATCAGAACATGGAGCCTAAGACTATTTTCAAACATTTGTTTTCCTTTCTCAGGTACATAGTGGTTTAGGGGAGGGGAACATTTTGGCCTTGGGTTCACAACTGTTGGAAAATACATAAACCAACCCCGTTTGAGAAAGTATTGGTTTTTGTATTTTTCTCAAAATGTTAATGAATTAAATTAAAATCTTTCTTTGTTTGTTAATTTTTGTCCGATAACTTACTCAGGAAATCGGAAATATTATAAATAGCCTACAAGTTTTATAAAAAAATTTGGAAAAAAATTTTAAGTGTGGTTTATATTTATATTGTGACAAATTGGCCAAACTATTATATTGGTTTGGACAATCCTCACTTTAACTTATATTAATTGAGTACCTTGCATATTACATAATTAAGAGTTACAACTTTGATTTATTGTGATCTGTATTAGTTAAGATTTCTTATGTTTATATCTTTTTACTTGTCAAAGTTGTAAGCTCATGTATGTTGTGACAGTGCTCATAGATACTTGTAAATTCATATTTGTACATATCGAATTAGTCCATATCATGTTATTTATATCATCAAAATAAACTTAAACATTTTCTTCAGTTGAGTTTTTAATTCCTTATTGGCTGTTTAAGGTAACATAAGTTTAAGATACTTGCTTTACTCATGGCTAGAACTATACAATTCATTCCCTTGTTAAATTTTTTGCCGGTTTTATAATTAAAATTAACACTAGGTGGCGTTTGCAGAGGCATCCACAAAATTGAGCGGAGTCATCAAGCGTTCATATTATATTGTTTTTGTCATACTGCAGTAAAAACAGTAGTTTTTAATGCATGCGTTGCGGGTTCAAAGTAGAATTTTTACTCTTTAGGGAGTAAAAATCGTTTTTAGCCTCTATGGAGTAAAAATCAGCTGTTGTCAACTCAGTTGTAAATTTCTATCGTATACGATTGCATGTATCGAAATATCTATCGATGCTTGCTTCGTAATCATTTTAACCTAAAGTCTACAGTCTCTTCCCATAGCATTTTAGCATTGCAGATACTGTAATCCATTCCCACACTCAACACTGCTCACCTTTTCTACTTCCTTCACCACCCCCTACGTCGTGGGCCTGTTTCCCTCTCTTCCCATAGCATTTTAGGATTGCAAATACATTAATGTAATTGCCAAAGACAGTTCCCACACTCTGCACTGCAAGCCTTACTACTTCCTTCACCATTAACTACCTCTTTCCATCATAGACCATCATAGACCTCTTTCCTTCCCTTCTCATAGCATTTAAGTATAAGTTACATTTATCTAACTGCCCAAACGATTCCCCCACTCTGCACTGCCAGCGTTTACTACTTCCTTTACCACTTCTTACGTCGTGGGGCCTGTTTCCTTCCCTTCTCATAGCATTTTAGGATTAAAGATACATTAATGTAACTGCCACAGACGGTTTTCACACTATGCTCATACTTTACTGTTTCCTAATTCACTTCCTACATCGTAGAACTGTTTTCATCACAGTCCATAGCATTTTAGTATTTTAGATACGTTAATCAAATTACAGTACCACAAGCATTCCCCACACTCTGCACTGCTAGCCTTTACTACTTCCTTCACCTCTTCTTACGTCGCGGACCTGTTTCCCTCTCTTCCGATGGAATTTTAAGATTGTAGATACCTTAATCTAATTGTCACAAACAGTTCCCACACTCCGGACAGCTCGCCTTTACTACTTCCTACACCACTTCCTACGTCGCGGACCTGTTTCCTTTCCTTCCAATAGCATTTTAGGATAGTAGATACCTTAATCTAATCGTCATAAACAGTTCCCACACTCCGGACAGCTCGCCTTGACTACTTCCTTCACCACTTCCTACGTCGCGGACCTGTTTCCTTCCCTTCCAATAAAATTTTAGGATTGCAGATACCTTAATCTAATCGTCATAAACAGTTCCCACACTCCGGACAGCTCGCCTTTACTACTTCCTTCACCACTTCCTACGTCACGGACCTGTTTTCTTCCTTCCCATAGCATTTTAGGGTTGTAGATACTTTAACCTAATAATCGTCATAAACAGTTTCCACACTACGGACAGCTCACCTTGACTACTTCCTTCACCACTTCCTACGTCGCGGACCTGTTTCCTTCCCTTCCAATAAAATGTTAGGATTGCAGATACCTTAATCTAATCGTCATAAACAGTTCCCACGCTCCAGACCTTGACTACTTCCTTCACCTCGTGGACCCGTTTTCCTCCCTTCCCATATAATTTTAGGAATGCAGATACCTAAATCTAATCGTCATAAACAATTTCCACACTCCAGACAGCTCGCCTTGACTACTTCCTTCACCACTTCCTACGTCGCGGACCTGTTTCCTTCCCTTCCAATAGCATTTAAGGATTGCAGATAACTTAATATAATCGTTATAAACAGTTCACACACTCCAGACAGCTCGCCTTGACTACTTCCTTCACCACTTCCTACGTCTCGGACCCGTTTTTCTCAATTCCTATAGAACTTTAGGAACGCAGATACCTAAATCTAATCGTCATAAACAGTTCCCACAGTCCGGACAGCTCGCCTTGACTACTTCCTTCACCACTTCCTACGTCTCGGACCCGTTTTCCTCAATTCCTATAGAACTTTAGACACGCAGATACCTAAATCTAATCGTCAAAAACAGTTCCCACAGTCCGGACTGCTTGCCTTTACTACGTCCTTCACCATTTCCTACGTAGCGGACCCGTTTTCCTCCCTTCCCATATCATTTTAGGAAGGCAGATAACTTAATCTAATTGTCATAAACAGTTTTCACACTCCGGACAGCTCGCCTTGTTTGAACAAAGGGGAATTAAAAATTAAATTCCTGACTTTGCTACCAAACTGAATAATTGCTGGTTCAATAGATATTTGTTAATATAGTAGAAAGGAAGTTTATTGATCTGTCTAAGCAGTTAGTTACTACTGGAAAAATAATAAATTCATTTGAGTTCAGAAAATATTATAATAATACAAAATTAAATTAACCCTTTACAATAAAAATATTAAAATCAAAACTATTCTCTTGCTGAGATATTTAAGTCCAAATTGAAATAGACAGAGAGGAATGATGTGTAGAGATGTACTCACGACCTCGAAGAGAAGAAATTATCGAATGTTCGTTAATACCAAGTAATGGAGATTAACACTTCTTGAGAAAATAAAATATAACACTGTGTGCACACAAACTTCTGGTGAATGTTCCTCACGGTTAAATAAAACTTCTGTAGAAACAATAGAGTCAATAATTGATGATTTAATATGGGATACTGAGACCCATGGTAAAATAATTAGAGGGATTCAGAGACCCTCAATGTTTGATTCACATGAAGACTGCATAGTAACTGAGTGAGTTGGAGCAGTGTACAGGAAAAAAAACTGTTCAGTCTATATCATGTCGGCTGGAACTGATAAGCAGGATACGCAGCACATTCCTCTGCATTGTCTGCCTATCTCTCTCTCTCTCTCTGTCTGGCTTAACTTAATACAATTTTATTTTATGAACTCACTTAAAATATTATTCTGAATTGAACAAAAAAAAGAGCAGTTATTTATTTACACACAAAACATTTAAATATCTATTATTTAAATGACAAAACAAGTATTATTTTATTTAAAATAAATTTAAGTTTAGACCTAATTTGAGAATGCTCAAACATACCGCCCACCGAAATTTCAAAGGAAATTTCTAGCATCTTACTTAAAAGGGTCAGAATTGATTGAAAGAAGAGGTACCAATTTCACAGCTGGACGTTGGAATTCAGAGTCACTGGTCTTGACAGTCATCACTCGAACAATTCCATCACTGCCTGGGTGAGTCTTGATGATTCTTCCAAGAGGCCACTGCAAGATAGGTACATTTTGATCCTTAAGAAGAACCAAGTCTCCGATTTTAGGGTTTGTAGAAGATCTTGTCCATTTTCCTCTCGCTTGCAGGATGTTCAAGTATTCCACTCGCCACCTCTTCCAAAAATGTTGAACCATCTTGTGGACTAGTTGCCATCTTGTAAGGACGTTTTCTCGAAGATCAAGAAGAGAAGGTTCGGGAGGAGCAACAAGAGGACATCCAACAAGAAAGTGTCCTGGAGAAAGAAAATTAGTTTCTTCTGGACTAGCTGACAAAGGACAAAGTGGTCTTGAATTCAGAACTGCTTCTACTTGGGTGAGCAAGGTTGACCACTCTTCATAAGTCAAAGCAGTTTCTCCAGCTATCTTCCTCAAATGTGTCTTTGTTGATTTAACTGCCGACTCCCACAGTCCACCAAAGTGTGGGGAGTAGGGAGGATTGAAATTCCATTTTACATCCAGTTTAGTAGTTTGCTGTAGAATTTCTTCTTGTGTAGTCTGATTGGAATACCATATTCCTAACTCTCGAAGACGATTAGCTGCTCCTCTGAAGTTGGTTCCACAGTCGGAATACACTTGTTCAGGAAGACCTCTTCTAGAAATAAAACGTCTGAAAGCAGCCATAAAGGCATCTGTCGAGAGTGCGGTTACCAGCTCTAAATGCAAAGCTTTAGTAGCCATGCAGACAAAAACACAGATGTAAGTCTTGGCAGTGGTTGCTTTTCTTCTTAACGACTCTCTCATAGTCAAAGGTCCAGCAAAGTCAACACCAACATGTAAAAATGCTCGGCTTACATTCACTCGTGGCGATGGAAGATCAGCCATCATCGGGGCAAAGGTTTCAGCCTTTAGCTTGAAGCACCTTAGACATTTGAAGGTTCGCTGACGGACAATATTTCTCAGTGATGGTATCCAAAATCGTAATTGAATCAGAGCTTGAAGCAAGTTGGGTCCTGGGTGTAGGTAGATTTTGTAGTAATAATCTACCAACAATAAGGTGAAATGACACTTTGTCAGAAGGATTGGGTGTCTTTGATCTTCTGGGATAGCTGCATTATTTAGCCTGCCGCCCACCCTGAGAATCCCCAATTTGTCAAAGAAAGGGGTTAGTTTATGAAACTTATGGAGGACAGCAGTTGCACATCTTCTGTCGCCATCAATAGAGAAAAAGTGTGATTGAATTTTCTTGATGCAGGATAGTAAGGACTCTTGAATTTCCTTAGGCTGAAGGGGTCCTTTAAGACGACTAGTACTGTGTAGTTTAGCTTGACAATTGTAGATAAATCTTCTGATCCAAGATATTACACGTAAAAGTTTGTAGTATGAAGAATAGTTTTCCATCATCTTGATAAGCTCTGGCTCAGTACTATTTGAGACAAGCACTTGTGGTTCAGCTTTCACTTCAGGTAGGGGCTGCTGCTGGAACTGTACTGTAGACTCTGGCCATTTATCTTCAGGCATATTCATCCACTTAGGGCCATGCCACCATAGATCACAGTTAGTTAGTTTATCTGGTAAAAGTCCTCTAGAACCATGGTCACTAGGATTTTCCTCTGATTTAATATGTCTCCACGATGAAACAGGTGTATGTTCCAAGATATGTGCAACCCTGTTTGCTACAAAAACTTTAAGCTTGTAAGTTGGTGTATTCAGCCATCCTAAGACAATTGAAGAATCAGTGAAGAAAATAGGCTTCTGAAACTGATTACTGGCAAATTGGCTGAGGGTTTCCATAACTGAGTGGAACATTGTTGCAAGCAGGTAGGCTCCACACAACTCTAAGCGTGGGATAGACAGGGTCTTGATTGGGGCTAACTTAGTTTTGGCTGTTAGAAGGTTTGTAGTTATTTTGTCACTAATAACTCTCAGATACAGTGCAGCACAATATCCTTTTTCGGAAGCATCAGCAAATCCTACTATTTGCAATTTGTATGGTTTGTCAGATGTTACAAATCTTGGAATACTAAGATGTTGCAGGTTCTCTAGCTGAGTAGTCAAGTCATTCCATAGAGTCTTCAAGTTAGTTGGGATTTCCGAATCCCAGTCCAGCTTCAGTTTCCAAAGGCTTTGTATTATGCACTTTGCAATCATTATCACAGGAGAAACGAATCCTAGAGGATCAAAAATCTTTGCCACAGCTGATAGGATGGCCCTTTTAGTAAACACAGGGGTAAATTGTTCAATCTGGTATGCAAACGTGTCGCTTGAAGGGTTCCATTGAAGTCCTAGGATCTTGACATTTGAATCTTCACTAGATGAGAGGTTGATCTGTTTGATATGTTTTGAAGGATTGATTGCATTTAAAATTTCCTGAGAGTTACTGGCCCATTTACTTAGACCAAAATGACCTTTGTGTAAAAGATTGATTACTTCATCCTTGAGTTTCAAGGCTTCATCAACAGTAGAAGCACCGGTGACAAGATCGTCGACATACATGTCTTGAAGAATAGCCTTTGCTGCATGTGGATAGTCAGTCCCTTCATCGGTTGCTAGCTGTTTCATGACTCTCAAGGCTAAAAAAGGTGCAGAGGTAGTACCATACGTTACTGTATTCAGTTCATATTTCTGAATAGCTTCAGAAGGATCAAATCTCCAGAAAATGTGTTGATATACCCTATCAGAGGGATGAACTAAAATCTGCCTGTACATTTTTATTATATCAGCCACAAAAACTACTGGATACATCCTAAATCTTGTCAAGATACTTTTTATGTCTTGCTGTAACTTTGGGCCTATCATAAGATGGTTGTTTAGAGACGTGTTAGAGTCAGTAAGGGAAGAAGCATCAAATACTACTCTGAGCTTAATCTGTGAGCGATCTTCTTTAGTAACAGAATGGTGCGGGATCACATATTTTGAAGTAGATGATGTGGGGCTCATGTGTTCCAGTTCAAGGTATTCTTTCATGAAATTGCAGTATTCAGACTTAAGTAGAGAATTCTTTGTCAGTTTTGTTTCTAGACTGTATAGTCTTTTCCGAGAATTTCTTTCAGAGTCACCAAGATGCTTTGGCTCAATTTTAAACGGTAGGCCAACAACGTACTGGCCGCTCTCAAGTCTGTAGTGAGTCTCCGTAAAATGCTTTTCACAAGCTAAATCTTCTGGGTTTTCTTGGACTGGGATAGAAGCAGGTTCCTCGAGTTCCCAAAATCGTTGCAGCTGATTATGAATGTCATCTTTATCATAAGCAAGGGTGAAGAAAGAAGCATTCATACTAGCGGATGATTGACAGTCAAGAACTCTCCCAATAGCAATGTAGCCAAAGACTGATGCAAACAGCTTGGGTTGGTTTTCATGAAGAGTAATCGAAGATCCAAGCCAAACATCTGGAAACAAGTCAGAGCCCAATAAAAACTCAATAGGTCCAGGTTCCCAAAACTTAGGGTCTGCTAGTTCAAATTTGGTATATTCCGACCATAAGTTAGAAGGCATAGTGAAGTTGGGTAGGTATGAAGTAATATTGTTGATCACAACAGCTTCTGTTTTGAGGATAGGGGTTTCCTGATTTTTTGGCTTCAGATGACAAAGTGCCTTGCCTTTTGCACCATCAAATATGGTCTGGCCAATAGCCGATATCTTCTTTGGATAAGGAGTTGTCGATAAACCAAGTTTGGTGAGGCATTTGTGAGTTATGAAGGAATGTTGACTTCCTGAGTCTATAACTAGACGTATGGATTGAAATCTTCCTGAAGCATCTTTTATCTCAGCAACAACAGTACCCAGCAATATGTTGCTATGTTGAGGAAGAGTTGCAGTCAAAGACGAAGTTGGTGCACTAGTAGCATTATCTTTCGATTCTTCATCAGTTGAGGTTGGAATATGTAGTAACGAGTGGTGTCTCTTCTTGCAAAATTTACAAGTCCACTTTGAGTTACACTTCCCTATAGTGTGGTTGGCATACAAGCAATTTTTACATCCATGCCAATTTCTTAACATCTTGTGTCGCTCATCAACTGTTGCATTCATAAAATCTTTACATCTCCAGAGTGTATGACTACCACTGTTGCATAGAAAGCATGTGAAACCTTTATTGTTATCTTTCGATTGCATGTTATTTCCTGGTGAGTTAGCCAGGAGTGTAGCTCGCATACCACGGCTAGAAGATCTAGTATTATATCCTTTAATAACGCCACTAGGCTTCGCAGAGTTATTGTCATGTGAGGATTGATGAGAATTTCCAAGGGCGAGCTGTAATGCTAGGCATCGTTCCCGTAGAAACTTTGTAAGATCATCAAAGACAGGAAAATCTTTATCTTTGTGTTGAAGTTCAAACTGTTCTCTGGTCGCAGAATCTAATAATCGAACAGCAATATGAAACAATACAAAATCTGCTTCATTTGGAATTTTTAGCGGTTTAAATGCTGCAATATTGTCTGAAACTTGTGATACAAAGTTCTGTAGAGAATCAATGGTAGGCTTGCCTTGCTGTGGCTTAAACTGGATGAGCTGATTTAAATAGTTAGAGGCTAGCATACGTTTATTATTAAACGTGTCATTCAATGCCTTCCATGCCAAGTCATAATTGTCTTCTATTAATGGCAAGTTACTTATAACTGCAGAAGCTGTGCCTACAAGTGAGGAAACCAGGTAATGGAATTTCTCCATTTTAGTCAATAAAGCATCATTATGAATAATTGATAAGAATGCATCACGGAATTTAGGCCAGTTTGTAATTTGTCCATTGAAGTGGGGCAGATTGATCCGAGGTAAAATTTTATTTGATCTGTTTTCAGATGATACAACTGATTCATTAGGATTAATGCTTTGGCGTGAGGGAGGTGATGTTGTCTGAACAAGAGCCATAAGTGCCTCATAGCTTGTGTGTGCCTCGTAGTAATAACGTTTGGCCTTGGTTTGCATAGTCAGATCTGCTTCGACAGGAAATTCTGAGATTTTTCCTTCATCTTCATGTAGGTCAATAAGTTCATCCCAGAGAGTTTCAAATTTGGAAAAATATTTCTCTAACACCTTAAACATACCCTTGAATAAGTTTACTTGAGCAGGATCTTTGAGAGCTGCCCTACCCTTCTCATTAATAGTTTGGACTTCCTTAGCACTATCTGATAATTTTCTCTTTAAGGCAGAAACCTTACGCTTAAAATCTTCTGCATTCATTTTCCCCCTCAGAAATTGAATACCAAGAGAAAATTTAAATAATCAAAGGCACAAATGTTTGAGCAATCTTTACAAAAATATGAACATGACAAGTACTATATACTTCAAGACAGTAAAAAAATCAACAAAGAATACCACTAATTCAGAATGAAAGTAGATCAAAAAATTCACATCATGATTTGCAAAATTATTCAATAAAGCTTGTATATAATATTACAGCAGCACATAAAACAAGATTGTAGAATATAAATCAGCAATATTTATTTGTGTTAAGAAACTATTTGGCATAAGAAAATATTTTCAGATTAAATTCTCTAAACAACCCTAATAACTCTTAAAAATATTAATAAATCACAAATCCAATTCTGGAGAAATGTATGAGCGTTTTACGATTAAATATCTAATTTAATCTAAGACAAAATGAATACCAAATATTTTATATGATAACTATCTTTAAACAAACAAATTTTCAACTGTAATCTACAATAACCTTCAAATACAATTAACCTTACTTTGACAATTTAAAAATGACCTTCAATATTTTTTCAAAAGTATATTTTAATTTACATTTTTTTTTTATTTATTAACAAATGACTAAGTGAATCCGGCTCGAAGGACCAATATGTTTGAACAAAGGGGAATTAAAAATTAAATTCCTGACTTTGCTACCAAACTGAATAATTGCTGGTTCAATAGATATTTGTTAATATAGTAGAAAGCAAGTTTATTGATCTGTCTAAGCAGTTAGTTACTACTGGAAAAATAATAAATTCATTTGAGTTCAGAAAATATTATAATAATACAAAATTAAATTAACCCTTTACAATAAAAATATTAAAATCAAAACTATTCTCTTGCTGAGATATTTAAGTCCAAATTGAAATAGACAGAGAGGAATGATGTGTAGAGATGTACTCACGACCTCGAAGAGAAGAAATTATCGAATGTTCGTTAATACCAAGTAATGGAGATTAACACTTCTTGAGAAAATAAAATATAACACTGTGTGCACACAAACTTCTGGTGAATGTTCCTCACGGTTAAATAAAACTTCTGTAGAAACAATAGAGTCAATAATTGATGATTTAATATGGGATACTGAGACCCATGGTAAAATAATTAGAGGGATTCAGAGACCCTCAATGTTTGATTCACATGAAGACTGCATAGTAACTGAGTGAGTTGGAGCAGTGTACTGGAAAAAAAAACTGTTCAGTCTATATCATGTCGGCTGGAACTGATAAGCAGGATACGCAGCACATTCCTCTGCATTGTCTGCCTATCTCTCTCTCTCTCTCTGTCTGGCTTAACTTATTACAATTTTATTTTATGAACTCACTTAAAATATTATTCTGAATTGAACCAAAAAAAGAGCAGTTATTTATTTACACACAAAACATTTAAATATCTATTATTTAAATGACAAAACAAGTATTATTTTATTTAAAATAAATTTAAGTTTAGACCTAATTTGAGAATGCTCAAACACGCCTTGACAACTTCCTTCACCACTTCCTATTCGCGGACCTGTTTTCCTCCCTTCCCATGGCATTTTAGGAATGCAGATACGTTAATCTAATCGTCACAAACAGTTCCCACACTCCGGACAGCTGGCCTTGACTACTTCCTTCACCACTTCCTACGTCTCGGACCCGTTTTCCTCAATTCCTATAGAACTTTAGGATTGCAAATACCTTAATCTAATGGTCATAAACAGATCCCATACCCCGAAAAGCTCGCCTTGACAACTTCCTTCACCACTTCCTACATCGCGGACCTGTTTTCCTCCCTTCCCATAGCATTTTAGGAATGCAGATACCTTAATCTAATCGTCACAAACAGTTCCCACAGTCCGGACTGCTTGCCATTACTACTTCCTTTACCACTTCCTACGTCGCGGACCTGTTTCCTTCCCTTCCAATGGCATTTTAGGATTGCAGATACCTTAATCTAATCATCATAAACAGTTTCCACACTCCGGACAGCTCACCTTGACAACTTCCTTCACCACTTCCTGCGTCGCGGACCTGTTTTCCTCCCTTCCCATGGCATTTTAGGAATGCAGATACCTTAATCTAATCGTCACAAACAGTTCCCTCAGTCCGGACTGCTTGCCATTACTACTTCCTTCACCACTTCCTACGTCACGGGCCTGTTTCCCTCCCTTCCCATAGCATCATAGGATTGCAAATACCTTAATCTAATGGTCATAAACAGATCCCATACCCCGAACAGCTCGCCTTGACTACTTCCTTCACCACTTCCTACGTCGCGGACCTGTTTCCTTCCCTTCCAATAGCATTTTAGGATTGCAGATACCTTAATCTAATCGTCATAAACAGTTCCCACACTCTGGACAGCTCGCCTTGACTACTTCCTTTACCACTTCCTTGTCGCGGACCTGTTTCCTTTCCTTCCAATAGCATTTTAGGATTGCAGATACCTTAATCTAATCGTCATAAACAGTTCCCACACTCCGGACTGCTCACATTTACTACTTCCTTAACCACTTCCTACGTCACGGATCTCAAGCTAGTGTCGTCATTTGATTATATTAATGATCCATACCGTTTCTGTTCTAATATCTGTGGAATAATGCTATCAGCTATTTCTTTATCTACTGCATTCAAAAGGCAACAGCTGACCATATGTCTTTGTTTATGTGTCATAACTGCTTCCATAAGGATTACATTGAAACTTTGAGACCCAGTGGGGCGGATTCCTGAGAGTCTTTTTTAACGCCATATAGATGTTAGCATTCACCGATATGGTCTTTATCACCATACAAAATTTGAAAACGATTGATTCAGCCGTCTAGGAGGAGTTTGCGTATTGCGAAATGCATAAGAGTCAACGTATAAGAGCTTCGCTCGCTCCGCTCAACAATTAAGCTTCTGACGGAGACTCCCGGTCTCAAATGCTGATTGATACTAGAGGTTAAAATACCTTAATCCGTCAATGTGATAATGTCACCGATGAGTGGCGACCAGTTTCAACCCAGCAATGGGATCATCCTCTGGCGAAGAAAGGACTAGCTTAGAAGAGGAAGAGTAGAAAAAAAAGTTGTCAAAGAGACGACTTTTTTGTGTATAATGTATATCCTTGCTGAGGATAGGACATAGAATTACTCCGAAGAGGTCATCAAAACTATGTATTCGTGTGCGTCCGCCGCGCAGTCGATTTGTGGCCACACGTGTTTGTGTAAAAATGTGTTTAAGTGTTCGTTTCATATTTATAGACTTTTTGACGACCTCTTATTATACACAAAAAAAGTCGTCTCTTTGACAACTTTTTTTCTACTCTTCCTCTTCTAAGAAAGGAGTAATTCGATGTCCTTTCTTCGCCAGAGGATGACCCCATTGCTAAATTGAAACCAGGTTGCCACTCATCGGTGACATGATCACATTGACGGATTAATTTTAACGCCTAGTATTAATTTATATTATGATCAGGAGGCAAAACAGAAATGATGCTGATTTTGGTTGTTTTCAAACGCTCAAAATGGACATAGTTGAAGTGAACCGACGACCAATGGCATTGACACAAACTACTTATATCAGATGAATATGCCGATTTTTTTATCAATTCAAACTGATAAAATTAAATGTTTATTGTCTTGTGAGTTTATACAAATTATTGACAATGTCATAAAACTGCTAAAATTAGCATAGTCAGTTAATGAATATAATATAGCTAACTACACACAAAGAGACATGTTACAATACATATTTTAATATTACAGCCAAATAATGTTACTGTCAAAAAAAATCAAAGCATTTGGAAGTTATTAAACCCCATAACCAACTAAATCCAACAGTAATTTGCTAAATTTGCTAGCTCTACTTAAAAATTAATAAATCGCATTTCAAGATAGGATGACTTATTGTAAGCTAAAGCATCTGTTATGTAACATCAACTATCTCACTAATAAAAAAAATGTAAAAAAAAGAATTTTTTACACTAGCGCAATCTCGTCCACTGCCACTGACTCGAACGGTTGTCACACAGTGGCCATGCGTCAGTGGCGCTTTTTTTCAAACCAGAGCTCATCAGCCAGTGCAATTAGATCAGCTGTTGCACTGGTTATTGTTTAAAATCTGGCTTGTCAGTTGGACACTGTTTATGTTTATTTTGACATTGTAAACACACATTCATCTCATGTAAAAGAAACAGACACGGTGTGAAACTGGACTGTTCTTAACCGGACAGATAGTCCAATATAATATGGAATGAGTTATGCTGTGATAATTTCAAACACGAGAAATTCAGGTTGAATAATCACATGGCTAACAAGTCAATATGTTTAATAACACAAGATATTCAACAACAATATTAAAAATATCAATAACATTACATTGTTTTAGCAAAAGCAATACAAGTTGAAAATATCACAATTTCCAAGCTATTTTGTCTCCATTTTACGACATGGTGCTTCAACATAATCAGCAACTAACGAACGGACAAGAAGCAATGGACGAAGCATGCTATTTACAGGCCTACACACACAGTCTTTTGGTCAGTAGCGACATTGAGCATTTGTGCAAAGCAAAGCCGATGTTTATAATGTCCATTTTATTACTACACTTTAATACAAAAATGTTTCCTTTATTTTACAGCTTACTAGTTATTTAGCCTACCAATGAGACAGTTTGTGATATTATCAAGATATCGACATTTTCACCTTATTGACCAAATAGTTCAAGGGTACAGTGGGTTATAGTTTCTAACAGAATCATTTGTAACACTAATAAATCAACATCACTTATGCTAAATGTTGAATATTTGAGACTGTTAAAAGCCATTTCCCCCACTATACGCTTTACATTTTTAACCAAATTTTGGAATTGCTACCGCTTTTCATGTTTAATCGTAAACACAAAACCAATCAATAAACACAAACACTCAACAATGGAAAAACTGTTTTTAATGAAGTACCTTCCCTAATTAATTCTAAACACTATTATCTATATACCTAACACTGTAAACTATGGACAAACACT